CTTGTATTCCTCATCACTAGGCTTCCTTTCCCTCTCAATGACTTCGTGCAACTGCACTAAAGTACACTTTAGAGTTTTAGCTGCTAGTACTTATTTTCTTTTTAACATAGGATTTCAATAGCCAAAACAATTTTAGTGTATTTTTGGCGTGAATCGTAGCGTGTCTTCTTGGATACAAGATCAAAGAAACCAGAACACCTACGTACCTTGCAACATGCGTTCTGATAGCTGCCCTGTTTATTTTTAAATATCCGGTCCTATAAGACGGTATTGCATTCTGTCTTGCACAGAGGACTTAGCTTTCAGAATAAACTTTTCAGGAGGCAACACACAATAAAAAGACTGATCCTTCAGTGAAAGGCCCTCTTGCATCAAAAGAATCATGTTCACTGAAAAATAACCTACTAATGCTTAACTGCTCACTTCAGGTGAGAATAGTGGAGCTTATTGCTCGAACGACCTCCTAGAAATGTTACTGGTGCTCTTTCAAAATTAATCCCACCTCCCTGCCCAAATTTTGATTACTGGACTCTGCACAAAATTCCTTCTGTTTCGCTAAGTGCCTTCTCTATTGCCAACCAGAAGAAAAGGTAACTCCTATTTGGGCCCTTCCGGCCATCAGCAGCCCAGTAAATATACAAGAAGGTGAAAAGCTGCAACAAGTCTGCGTTTGTCACCTACAAAGCATAGAAGAGGCATGACCTGCATTCTTGACTCTCTGCAGCATCAGAAATCACTAACAGCAGGAGATAACTCCATGACTGCAGCTCCCATTTAGGCCACACAGGAACAGGCACACTAAACACCCAGACGAAGCAACAGCATGACCTGAAGGCTCGCCAGTCACTTTGCTACAGCAGTTTATACAACACAGTTAAAGAACTCACTGAAGCAGTGAGCTACCTCCCATCTTCCGCTAAGAAGAGCCCAGTGCCTAAGCCACTTACTGGTCTTCTTGAGGTCAGCGGTGTTGATCCAAGTCCAGGACTAGACAGTTCATCATATATGCTTCGAACTGGTGGAGCACCCCTCTTATCCTTATGTGTGGGGACTACTGGTTGTGGGGGAGATCCTCCTGCAACAATGAAACAATGGAAACTTCCCTGTAGCAGAGATGCACAAGCAAGGTTCTTTTTTAAGACCTGAGACATTCTCCATGCTAAAGAACCACACCAAAGCGCACACAGACGCTGCACACGCTGTCACGTGCCCGCTGTCCGAACTCCCTTCCTTCCCACGTAATTTCATAGCTCTTGAAAGCAGCGACTAGCTGGCATTTAGACACGATGAAGTTAAGCCACTGCTCTCTCACTTTGTTAACTTTGGGACTGCCAATACAACAGAGAATTAAACTGATGGAAAGGTCCTGACATGGATCTCAACACTTTGTGTGGGTCTACCCACGGGAAAAAACAGAGTAGCTTGACTTAACAGTTTTCACTTGCAAAACATCTGGAAATTAAGCTTTACCAAAGTACTTTCCCATCCTAAATTCTGAGCTTCAAGGCTTCTCTCTGAACTGTTGAACGCATCCAAGAACCCTTAGAGTGTACTATATAAAGCACTCTCCCACCACGGTTTTCAGTTTCATCCTTAATCACTCATTTTGGGAGGCCTGTGTTAGTATCTTACCGGCGTTCCCCCTTTTCTAGAATTGATACTCTGAGGCTGTAATAAACCCTTTCCAAACCAGTTAGGTGACATTCACATGACTACTTTCCATTTCACAAACACTTTCCCAAGAGGCTTCGGGGGACGCGGGAACAGGACGGGGACTGACAAGAGCAAGAAGCAGGAAACCAACAGACCACCAATCACAGAATATCTCAAGCTGGAAGGGACCCAGAAGGATCACCGAGTCCAATTCTGCTTGAAATGGAAAGGAGAGAAAATTTAAAATTATCTTGCAGTTCTTTAATCCTCCCTTTCTCCTGCAAAGCGACCAGCACACTAACACCATCAGACATTTAGATTATGCCAACCCTTTTAATACAAATACTAACATCTCCCACGACATGAAATAAATCAGCAAAGCTGTTAACCACTCCTACTTCTCAGAGAAGAAAGCAGACACAGAAATCCACCACCTTAGAAACATG